CAACTTTGTGTATTCTTGTGCGACCCCTCTCACTTCATTCATATCAGCTGGATGCTTCACTCTCAGCTCTTGACCTTTGTGGCTATGTCCTTGTCCATAGTCCCAGGTTTCCCAGATCTCACCATATTTGGGACCAACCAGCCCTTCTTCTTCTCTCTCTCATCTCCAGGTCAACAGGAGTCAATAGACTGTGGTTGAACTCAACCCATTTCTTCATTGCTGCCTTTCCCCCTCTTCCACTCACCAGTAGACCAACATAAGCACCAGCAAGCTTACATGCCTGCTCATGTGTTCCCTTTGAGTTTCAGTCTTGGGTTTGTCTTGAAGGAACTTGATTGCTTGCCTTGATGGCTTCAGTACATTTACTTTTAGACATTTAAAAGTTTTGTTCAAAATGTAAGTTATAGTTGTCGATTATGATTCATAGCAACCCTATGTACAACAGAAAACCTGCCCGATCCTGTGCCATCCCTGCAATAATTGCTGTGTTTTAACCCATAGTTGCAACTATTGTCTCAGTTCATCTCCTTGAGGGTCTTTCTCTTTTCCCCATGACCCTCATTGTACCAAGCATGATGTCCATTTCCAGAGACTGTTCATGACTGATACCACATCCAAAATATGTGAGACATTCTTACCATTCTCACTTCTAAGGATCATTCTGTCTGTACCTCATCCAATACAGATTTTTCCATCTTTTGGCAGTCTGTGGTATACCCATTACTTTTCACGAACACCATAATTCAAATGCATCCGTTCTTTTTTGGTCTTTCTTATTTATTGCCCAGCTGCCACATGCATATGAAGCAATTGAAAATACCATACATATCTTGGGTTGTTGTAGTTGTTAGATGCCATCAAGTTGGTACCAACTCATAGTGACCCTATGCACAACAGAACCAAACACTGTCTGGTCCTGCCCTAACCTCACAATTGTTGCTACATTGGTGCCTATTGCTGTTGCCACTGTGCCAATCCTTCTTGTTGGGGGTCTTCCTCTTTTTTTCCGACTCTCCACTTTACCAAACATGATGTCATTCTCCAGTGACTGGTCCCTCCTGATAATATGTCCAAAGAATGAGAGATGAAGTCTGGCCATACTGGCTTTCAAGGAGCATTCTGGCTGTACTTCTTCCAACACAGATTGGTTTGTTCTTTTGGTAGTCCATGGTACTTTTAATATTCTTCTCTAACACCATAACTCAATTGCATCAATTCTTCCATGGTCTTCCTTATTCACTGTCCAACTTTTACATGTACATGAAGTTAT